CGTTAATTACGTTCCCTTAAATAAAAAATAAAAAAAAACCTTAAAAAAAAGAACGAACTCACCATAGGTTCGTTCTTTTTTTTTTAAATCCTGGTCGTTAGGCTTCGTTCATCCAGGCTTCCTAATAAAAAAGAAGGGAACCATTAATTAAGTTCCCTCAAGTAAAAATAACAAAAAAAAAGAAACGAACTTACCTAGTTCATTCTTTTAAATCTTGGTCATCCGGCGTCCGTTCGTCCAGGAAAGGGTTTTAAAAAAAAAATCTGATCTGAAATCTGTTCAGATCGGATCAGATTTTCTCGTGTTTGATCTGATCTGATCTGAATCTGATCGGATCAAATTTTTTTTAAATCCGATCTGATCTACGGATCAAAATTTTGAAAACTGAACCGATCTGGCTAGGATCAAATCTGCAGATCCCAGATCAGATCAGATTTTTTTCGGAGCACTAGTAGAGGTGAGCAATAAAGAGAAGAAAGAGATTAAATCTGAAGAAGAGAGAAAATTTTAACAGGAAATTGTAAATATTGAGGATGTAAATTTTAACAAGTGAAATTTCTAACAAAATATAATTACCTTCATCCAATGCTCGGTTTTGCTTTTGGACATTCCAGTTTACTGTATTAATTAATCCTTTATTTTATTCGTCATAAAAGTACTAATAATAATAATTATGCGTTAATTTCTATGATGTTTGTTGTGTTTGTTGACACCTTAAATGTGAATATTTTCATCAGTATCATTACGCAGTTAACTGATGGTATCATTTGATATTCTTACCTAAATATTTAAATGACACGATGATTGATTAATTTAATGTATGTATTTCTTGATTGATTGTAATCAGTATCACTAACTGTTAACATTGTGTAAACCATGCAATACGTCAAGCAATACTGTATTGTTAAATATTGTTAATATTATTAAAGCACATAGTCAATTTATTGTTAAACAAGTTAATATAATAAATCAACATGTAAAAAACCTTAATGTTTTTATATAAATTAACCTACTTTGCTAGCGTCAAATAAAAAACTTATTCACCATAAATCAATTTCAAAAAATGGCTATATACTCGTGCCCACATTGTGAAAGAGTCTTCAGTCGTCGTGCTTCTCTACAAAATCATGTGAAAACTCACGATGATATAATTGATAAAGTTCTTAGAGAAATTGCTGAAGAAGTAGAACATAAACAAGAGGAAGTGGGTGACAATGAACGACTTGAGAAGGTGAGCTACAAAGAAAAAGAGGAAAAGAGCACTGGTAAAAAAATGATTTATCCTACACATATCTTACACATATTGGGTACTCAAAATGTAGAAAATCATACACAAATAATACACATATCATACACATATCGGGTACTAATATATATATCATACATATATCAGGTACCTGATAGGTATACTATATATATAAGTACCCGATCACTGGTCGAAATAGGACAATTCGACCTAAATTTGACCAGGTCGAATATAGGTCAAATGACAATCTAACCTGTGTCAAATTAAGGTCGAATTTTCGGGCGCATTTAGGGTGCCAATCATCTCAAATTCGGAAAGGATATTCAGCTAAAATTAGACTCAAATTCGGAAAGGATATTCGGCTAAAATTAGACCTATATTAGGACGTTATTACATATTTGTTCGACCCTAAAAAAAAACCATATTCGACTACTATATGTAACCCGAATATTATTGATAAATAGAGTTTTCAAGGACGAATAATAAAGCATAGTATAAGCAAATAAAACCCGTTTATTTTATATTTTATATATATTGACGTATAGTAATATAATTATATAAATCAACCCATGTACATAATAATATATAAACCCCAATAAACCAACCATATTAAGCCAAAAAAAGAAATATAAAATATACTAATAATACCATATAATAAAAAATAAACCCAATAAACCAACCAAAAAAAAGAAATATAAAATATACTAATTATATTTGTCGGCTTCAAAGATTTCATAAATTTCCTCGTCTTCTTTTGCTTCTTTTGTGTCTTTTTCTTTGCCTTTTTGACTCCTTTCGGCTCTTTGTTGCTAATATGATATAAACAAAATTAATTAGCGATATTTGCGATGTAAAAATATTAAAAACAATTTAACTTACTGTCGTCGAACTTTCACCAATCTCATCCAAATCTTCGGGTCTAATCGAATTCATTTCCGCTGAATTTAACAAGAAATCTGAATATGGCTCCGTTAAATTCTGCTCCATTGGCTCACAATCTTCGTAAGATTGAATCAAATCATCAATCACATCATCAGCCGCGTCATATTCGCTAACGTTATTTGTTTCGTTGGTTCATCAGTTTCGTACATTTTCGCTTTATCGAGTGCCCATTCGGGCGTATTCTTGAGAGGTTCACTAGACGTAAAATACATGTCATCATCATAAATTCTCTCTCTTTGCTTTTTTGCGTGTTGAATATATTCTGCTTCAGGGTCCAATACGTTTCGTAATAGGTGTTTTAACTATTTAAAACAAAGATAAACTTTATATATCGAATAAATATTAAAATAGGTTAATAGCAATAATCACTTTAATACCTTGTTCGAACGCCATTCCCGATCGTAT